GATCCACACTGTGTTATCTCTGACTCCAGCATTGGCAGTTCTTACTATCTCTAAATGAATTGAAAGCTACTTTAATGATGATAATGAAATGACTGTTGAAAAAAGCTAGTGTCCTGTAGGGAAGGGCATTTACTGTACTTACTTGCTTTGACCTACATGTGACTAGGACTCATAGAAATGTGGCTGAGAGTCACATGACCTCTGAAATTGCTTAGCAAGCTATTTGATTGTATCAATTCTAAAAGGAGTGAAACCAGACAAAAAACCCAGCATTGACCTGAACGTTGCAGCCACAATTGTAAACGCAAACTTGACAATCCTGTGATGACCTCCATGCTAACATCGGGACCTTGAGCCAAAACTGGAAGACCTGTCCTCGACACTAGTCAAGCAACAGATTGGTATATGCACGTGGCAGCAATGTATGCCAATTACAAGATGCACTGTAACAACTGACTAAGGCTCCTTGGACAGAACCATCCAAACCTTTGACCTTTACCTCCCAGAAGGACAAGGACAACAGATGCAGTTCCTCTCCAAGCCAAGATCTCCAAATATTCATGAGGCTCATAGGGCTGGAGAAGGTTATAGAAATAGGAGCTGGAGTAGGCCATTCAGCCCTTCAAGCCTGCTTCACCATTCAATATGATCATGGCTGGTCATCCACTCAGTCCCCTGTTCTTGCTTTCTCCCTATATCCTTTGATCCCTTTGATTCTAAGAACTATATCTAACTCCTTTTTGAAAACATTTAATGTTTTGGCCTCAACTGCTTTCTGTAGCAGAGAACTCCACACTCTCCTGGTGAAGGGATTTCTCCTCATCTCGGTCTGAAATGGCCTACCCCATGTCCTTAGACTGTGACCCCTGGTTCTTGACTCCCCACTTGCTTGGCTAGTTCAGGTTCTCTTCCAGCAGCAGGTGGGTTTACGCTGTTTAGGGGAGACCAGCTGGTGAAAGCTGGTAACTCTCTCCGTGCTTGGGGCACAGGCACTCTGTGTGCAGTAACAGCCTCTTGCGCCCACCAACAGCCTGAACCTGCCCAATTAACCCCATGACTACGACCCCCTTTATCCCAGTCTGGAGGCCGTGTCTTTGGGAGCTCTCTTGGGGGCTGCTCCCTGTAGCATTGCTGAAACTACAGGGTTGTTGGCCTGAACGATTGATCAAGAGCTGTTGGAGGTGAGATCCCATTTCTTAAAGGGATGGGAGCACAAGCAATAGATCATCAGCTAGTAGATTGCCTTAGAATCCCCAGCTGGCTAGGAAAGAGTTGTCCTTATTATCAGGGCCATTGCCTGACAAAATCTTGCCCATGTGCCAGTATCCAACATTTATTAAGCAGTTACTGTGGACTCTCCCAGAGGTTCTCTGCATACATCGAAAGAAGAAAGGAAGAATTGCAGTCACATTGTGCTCTTCAGCTAGAGTCTCCCGAAGCACTTCATAATCAATGGAATCGTTTTTAAATGTGGACGTTTGTTGTAATGTACAAAAGTTGGTAGCCAATTTACACAGAGCAAGGTCCCTGAATAGCAATGACATAAATAGCCGGATCATCTGTTTTAAGGGTTTGGTAGAAGGTTAAATGGTGACCTGAACTTTGCCATTCTTCTTCAAACAGTGGCATGGAATATTTCATGTCCATCTAAAAGAGCAAGTGGGGTCTTGATTTAGCACCTCATTTGAAAAACCCAACAGTTTAGCACTCTCCAAGCACTGCATGGAAATGTCAACCGAGACTCTGTGCTCCAGTCTCTTTGTGAGAATTGAACCTAGAACTCTGTGGATGCGTAGAGAGAAACATTCTTGCTGATAGCAGCACATTGTGTAAAAGTAACTTTTAAACTAAAGAAGAGGATTAATGGTGACTGACAGGGTGGTGAGAACATTTGGCAATGTTCAGAATTTCTAGCAGAGAGGGACAAAAAAGGGTGGAAATGTTGCTGATTTGATGCGATTGTGGATTGCACTTTGTCAGGATAGTGCTGGCCAGAAAATAGGGCCAATTAAAAGGCTGGCAGCTCTTCAGTCTCAACAGTGCCATCAAGATCAGGGTCCACTGCTGGGACTCCACCTTTCTTGGAGAGGATACTGTCCTTAGAGCATGGTAGGTCAGTTAGAGATTGTTGGGACAAGTCGGGCCTTCAAGTGCTGGGGAGGGTGATGGGGTTGGGGGAAGGGTTGGGTGTGGGTATGTGGTTGGATGGGCAAGAGTCGAGTGGATTGCCCATGGACCATATTTCTCTGAGTGGTCTACCCCACTACCCTCTCCACTGCTGCTAAAGTGCTACTGACAATGGGAAAAGGCACTGGCAGCTTGAGACTCAATTGGTCCCTGGGTAGCAGGGTGATCCTTCATCTTCTACACCCCTGATAAAATTCTGGGGCATTGGGAAGATGATGGGCACCCCATCCCCCATCTGCCTTCCTGATTCTCTGCTCACCTCACCTCCCAACACAATCGAGAAGGCCCCATTAAATTCCACTCTACCCTTTAAAACAGCCATGCTTGCTGTCAGTTCCAGACTAATCCATGGATTTCCATTTAACAGGGACACCTTTTAAAGGCAAGATCCCAGATAACAGGAGAAATAGGTGCACATGACTTGCAACTACCACTCACCTCAGTAAGAAGCTCAGCAAGTATCGAGCTGGATAAGACACAGAAAGAGACATTAGATTAGTGATCAAAAGCTTTGTCAAACATGTACGTTTTGAAGAGGAGAGGGAGGCAGAGACATGGAGAGGCCAAGAGATGGAATTCCAGAAATTAGGGAAAGGTGTCTGAAGGAATGGCCACCAAAGGTAAAGTGATGAAGATCAGGGATGTGTAGAAGGCTTGAATTGGTGGAGTGCAGAAATCTTAAGGGATTGTGAGTGCATGCGAGGACAGATTCAGATAAGCAGAAATAAAACCTGAATTCCACAGCAGCTGGTTCCAGAGGAAAGTTAAATAACTTTTCAACAGCACAACCTGAGAATAGATTTGCAGATTCATTTCCTGTTTCGAATTAAAAGAGATTAAGTCATTAAAACTCCTCTTAAATCCAAAGTGGCTGGGATATCTTCCAAAGGTAAATAGCAGATTGTGTTCTGGCACAATGTGCTTATTTCATTTGCTTGCTATAAGGAATTGGCAAATTACCAAACACTACGCAGAGCACAATATCTCAGGGCATTGCAAGATGCTGGACCATGTTGATTTACTTTATGATTTATAATAAATATTGCATACATCTTGGTAGTCTTTCTAACATTTAAAATAATCTCTAGTTATATGAATATCACTGGTAAATCGGCCCTTCGTTACCCATTACCATTATCCTTAAGAAAGTGGTGGTGGGCCTTCTGTTTGAACCACTGCAGCATGTGGTGTTGAAGCTACATTCCAGGGGAACATAGAAGCAGAAGTAGGCCATTCAGCCTGTTGAGCTTGCTCTGCCATTCAAAACAATCATTGGTGATCATCCACTTCGATGACTTTTCCCCACATTCCTTTACATTCTTGGTATTTAGGGATCTGTCAGTCACAACTTCAAACACACAATGACTGAGCTCTCACAGCTCTCTGGGGTTGATGCCTTGTTATGTTGAGAGTTCTGGGATTTTAACTCTCAGGGTATGAAAGAACAATTACATATATAGGCGGCATGGTGGCTGAATGGTTAGTGCTGCTGACTCACAGCGATGGGGGTTCGATTCCACTCTCAGGAGACTGTACATGTGGAGTTTGCACATTCTCCCTGAGTTTGCATGGGTTTCTTCTGGGTGCTCCGGTTTCCTCCCATGGTCCAAAGATGTGCAGGTTAGACGGATTGGCTGTGCTAAATTGCCCATGGTGTCCAGGGATGTGCAATCTAGGTGGATTAACCATGGGAAATGTAGGGTTACAGGGATGGGGTAGGGAGATGGGTCTGGATGGATCAATGTGGACTGGATGGGCCAAATGGCCTCTTTGCACACTGTATCCAAATTGCAGAGATATATGACTTGGAAGAATACGTGGAGTTTACGTTCCCATGCAATCATTTATTCCTGTATTTCTAGATGTTTAAATGTAATTGATTTGGGAGCTGTTGAGTTCTGTAAGTAAACAGCCAAACCTGGAGAGATTAAGCATCTCAACTAACTTATATTTCAGTGTCAGTTATTGTAATATAATTTATTTTTATTTTGCCCTTTCACTCAACAGACATCAAAAGGAATTCTGCCTCGGTTTTTCAGCAGCATTGAGGAACTCATTTTAACTTACACAAAACCAGACCAAGGTACAGTTGTACCGTTACTGCATCCAGTGGAACATAATGCATACAAAATAGGAAGCCACAATGAAGGTGAGAAGAGTGACACATGTGTGTTCACGTCAGTATAATTTACTCAGTCATCTAGAGGTTAGTGCAGTATTTGTTTTGATGAACCATTGACTACAGTATCGTGTTTAAGAATCTCGCAAGACAATTCATATCTATATAGTGCTCTAACATTTCTGAAACTTTCTTGTTTTTGCACAAGCTGAAGAGACTAATGAACAGAACTTTTAGACTATGCTCTCGGGTCCTAGTCTTCTCAATGAATGGAAATAGTTTCTATCAATTTCATCTGTTTCACTTAATAGCCTGAAAATTTTAATGCAAGGATTTAGCACAACTGATTGCTTCTCCATAGCACCAATCCCTGGATGCAAGAATACACATTTTCAGCAGTTGTCATTGAAATGTTAGCTTACTGATTAGCTGTATTAGGGGTAGCATGGTGGCTCAGTGATTAGCACTGCTACCTCACAGTGCCAGGGACCTGGGTTCAACTCTACCCTCGGGTGATTGTCTGTGTGGAGTTTGAATGTTTCCCTGTGTCTGTGTGAGTTTCTTTCGGGTGCTCCGGTTTATTCCCACAGTCCAAAGATATGCAGGTTAGGTGGATTGGCCACACTAAATTGGCTTGTAGTGTGTAGGCTAAGTGGATTAGCCATGGGAAATGCAGAGTTATAGGGCAGGGATTGGGTCTTTATGGGATGCCCTTTGAAGGATCAGTGTGGACATGAATGGCCTGTGTCCATACTGTAGGGATTCTCTGAGTATGATGGATGCCCATCTTTAGCTTGATGCTGTAGATGCCCAAGTTCAAGGCCGCTCAATCTAGACCATCAGTGAAAGGCTTAAAGACAAAGAGTTGTACCTGCTGTGAGGCTAATTCCACCTCTTCAAATTACTGCAGACAGCAATTTTCTGTCTACCCAACCATTCCCCCTTCTTAGCACATACCCACCCCAAATGGATCAAGTGAAGCCCCCTCCTGGAAATTCTGAATGATGAAGGACAGCTGATTTGGACATATTAAACATGTTACACTGGAATATTTCCAGATATGCTTCTGATCGTTTGGAGCATTAGTTCTCCATTAAATAATTTGCAGTACTTTCCATTCTCTAAAGACTTTTAAAGCTTAAGCTTGTTGCTATTTACCTGATGTTTTGACTTATCTCCATCATTCTTACACTTTTTACATTGATGAGCCTAGCTATACCCTAGTTTATGCCCTGAGTCTAGTTGAAATTGAATGCTGAAAATAGAAAAGGGCTTCATTCTGATCATTGATATCTTACACTTTGATGAGCACACGAATGAGATGTTCAAAAGAGAGCAAAAAAAAACTAATGGCCACAAAAGAAATCAAATGTCAGACTGCTTAATGACATATTGTAATTTTCTTTTATTTGATTTCAGCCTTTAGGCTGTTATGCTCAGATGGATAACTTAGAACACATTCACTGTCCTTTGTATATGCTCATTAATATGATTGTATAGTTTCTCTTTGTGACTTTTGACCACTGTAAAAACAAAAATGGGTGCAGGAACAAAGAAACCTGGGGTCATGTGCAAATCTTTGAAGATGACAGGACAAGTTGTTAAGATAGAATACAAGATCCTGGGATTTATTAGCAAAGACATGGAGCACAGGATCAAGGAAGTTGTGACAAAAGTTTCTAAATCACTTGTTAGGCTTTAGCTAAAGGATTTTGTTTAATTCTGGGCAATGCACTTCAAGGGGATGTCAAGGCCACAAAGGAGATATACCAATGTGGTACCACGTTTGGGGATGTAAGTTAGGTGGAGGGACTAGAAGTGCAGGTGTCTTTGCTGTTTTGCAGTAGAGATGAATCAGGAAATGTAAGAGAAATGTTTAAAATGATGAGGTGTGTTGGTGGAGTTGATAGGGGGAATTTGTTTCCACTGGTAGAAGGGATTGTTAGAAGAGGACAGAGATTTAAGATAAATGGCAAAATAATCTAGGGTGGAAGAATTTTGTAACTTTTTTTTTCCTGACTGAATGCTCTGAAAGTGTGACGGAAGCAGACTCAATACACTTTCTAAAGCCTCTTTTAAGTCACCTCTCCACCTTCTATCGAGAAAAGAGCTTAAGCCTGTTCAATCTTTCACAGTCAGTATAATTTCTCCCTACATCATAGAATCCCTGTAGCCACTTGGCCCATTGAGTCTGCACCAACCTCTGAAGAGCATCCCACCCAGACCCAGCACCCCACTACCTATCCCTGCATTTACCATATGTAATTCATCTAACCTGCACATCTTTGAACTGTGAGAAGAAACCGGAGCACCCAGAGGAAACCCATGCAGACAATGTGCCAACTCCACACAGACAGTCACCCAAGGGTGGAATCAAACCTGTGTCCCTGGCACCATGAAGCAGCAGTGCTAACCATTGAGCCACCGTGCTATCCAAATTATATAAGCACCCTTTTGCTCAATACAGTTTGACAAATGAAAGCCATAAGTCATGCCCTATTTTCAATTCATTTCTGATGCAGTCATGTCTCTATTAAGTTGTGGCAACAGGAAGTTTGTTCTCCCTGTTAAATATTTGGGAGTTTTTGACCTTCTTACTCAAGGTATTGTTGGTTTTCATGTTTTCAGTTGCAAAGAGGTGAGCATGCAATTTCTATGCCATCAAGCATACTTATGTATTGACCCTCCAAGCAACATCAAGCCCTGTTCAGTTTATTGTGATTGAAGTTGTTTTCCGACTACCTGCTATTGGTGTACTCACTATCTCGCAGAGGTAAACTGGGCAAGTAAACAGTAGAAGAATATTTTTGCTAAAATTGTGGATTTATCAAAGGCGCACATGCCTTTGCTCTACTGTGATGGCTCAGTAAATTGGATGGAAGATAATCCATTTAAATCAATGTTCATCTCTTAGTTTCACTGGCAGCTCCATGTATCTAAGGCTTTTCCCCTTTAAAGGTTCTCTCTTTCTCTCCCTCCACAGATGCTGCCAGACCTACCGAGTTTCTCCAGCATTCCCTGTGCTTGTTCCTGTTTAACCATCCGTTCCTTCACTTGGTCAGAAGTCACACGACACCACGTGTGAAATCACAAGCTTTTGGAGCGTTCCTCTTCACTTCACTTCACCTGATGAAGGAACAGCATTCCAAAAGTTTGTGATTTCAAATAAACCTGTTGGACTATAACCTAGTGTCATGTGACTTCTGACTTTGTCCACCCCAGTCCAACACTGGCCCCTCTACATCATGGCATCCTTCACTTGAGCAGTGATAGGTGAAACCTGTCCTAATTAGGGGCTGGGATTTAACATGAGCTACAGAGTACATCATCCATTTTGTTTTTAATGCCCAAGAATCATTCCACCCCCTTAATATTTCAAAACAAGTGCATATGATTCAAAACGGAATTAGATATGTATTTGATAAAAAGATTTGCTGGGTTGGAGGGGGAAGGGCAAGGTAGTGGGGTATGGACTTGATGTGTCGAATTGTCTTATTCCGTACCGCAATCAATGATTTAATAATTTGTGCTGTTGCCACGGTCCAGTCATGAGTCTTGAATATTCTGCACTTCGCAAATGATAAAAAGAGTTTAGCTTTTTCTTTCATAACTGATCAAGCAATTAACAAACTTTTAATGAACTGGCAATACTTTTTACATTGAAGATACTACCCGCCACAATAAGAATGAAACACTCAGTTATGACAAAAGGCTTTCTTTTCCCTTTCAAATGAGTCATTCAGAATTTCTGACTCATTGTAAGATTATAAACTCACTTTATCAAATGGCACTGTGAACATGAAACTGCATGATGAAAGATGTTTGGATATAGTAAGCAGTGTTTGAACTGTAGCAGTTTCCTGGTGTAGGATGTCGTAGGCCTGAAGCCAGCTGTTGAGAAATGGCTATTTTCCATTGATTTTCACCGTTATCCAGGACTTACGTTAAATGATAGTGAAATAAAGCATTTAATAGAGCTAAATAAAAACTGAAAGAACTGCGGATGCTGTAAATCAGGAACAAAAACAAAGTTGCTGGAAAAGCTCAGTAGGTCTGGCAGCATCTGTGAAGGAAGAGACAGAGTTAATGTTTCCGGTCTGGTGACCCTTCCTCAGAACGTTAACTCTGTTTTATCCTTCACAGATGCTGCCAGACCTGCTGAGCGTCTCCAGCAACTTTGTTTTTGTTCCTGTATTTAATAGAGCTACTTCTCTCCCCATTCCCATGTTGCCTTTCTGATAAAGGTAGGGAACATTGGAGACTGGGACATCCCAGGCTAGTTCTGCACTTGGTTCACTTTTCATTGTTAATACAAACATAATGTTGGCCGCCAAACAATCCCAAACTGTGTCCCTCTCTCAGCAGCTGGCAGAATAAGGCTGGTATAACTGTATCCTTCAATTTTTTCATTTCTTTTCCATAGGGAAGCGCGAGAAAAGCTTGGAATAAGTAGCAGGAATGCTTGAAATGTTTTGAAACTAATTCTGACAGAAAACCAACAACCAAGTCATTAATCTATGTTTTCACGTTGTAATTTTGCTTTTCCAGCTTGTGATTGAGATGGTAGCTGCCCATTGAATTTTAATTGCATCCTGGCACCAATGCACTTGATCAGAGTAGGATTTGTGGCATTCCTTTTTGTTCCTGGTCTGCAATGTAACACAGCCAAGCATAACATTGGCACAGCAAGAATAACAACCTTCACAAGGCTTAAATCGCAAAGTGACCTTCAAAAGCCTTTTGGAGGCCTAAAGACACTTTTGAAAGTCACACCTGCAACACCAGAGTGTAAATATTTTCTGCTCTAGGCCTCAGAAATCATTCAGAGTTTCATTTGTATGAAATTATACTGACACAATAAAACAACACAAAATGACTTTTCCAATTACTGCCTGCTGGAGACAAAGATGCATCATTGCAACTTAAAACGAGAAAGCACTTTGATGAGGTGATGAAGGATTTCCTGTCTGCCATTTGCTTTAACACTTGCATTCATGTGATTCCCAAATGTAAATAAATTAAACATTTTG